TCGAATTCTTTCTGGCGGTCAAGGCTAAAGTAGGTTGGAACGTCATAACCTCAGAGGAGGCTTGTAGGGGAAGTTGCCAACTCGTGCACCCATACTTTTGGGAGCTAGGATGGGGCAGGAGGGTCGGAACATCGCTGTTGTCAACCCGTCACCGGTTGGCTCAGAGTGGCAGGCGTGAGGGAGCGCAATCGCCCAGAGATCTCCCCAAAGGGAGCGCCACGTAAAAAACTAACTCGCTGCACAGCAGCCTCATATTGTGTCAAACGACCACCAGAGGAGGAAGAAAGACTTAAGCAAGAAACGAAAAACATACCTCAATAACATGAGACCCCCCCGTCGGCCAAAAACGCACAGAACGTCCGAAGGTACCCTCCCCAGGGTGCACAAGAACATCCAACAACACAAGGAAAACACCAGGGCACCCTGACCGAGCCGACCTCGATCATACACCTCGGCCCGACTGTACCCATCATACCGCTCCGCTCCGCCCGTTTTCCCCTTTTAGGCCTCTTCGGGGATCTTCTGACTGGGGTCGATTCAGACCCGGGTGAGTCATGCCTTGCAGGATCCCGCAAGATCCTGTAAGATCCTGCGCGATCCTGCACCCCAAGCCCGGGTCAGTGCGACCCTGGCTCTGCAGGATCCCGCAAACAACGGCGCTCTGACTGACCCCCGTTTGCACTGAAACCCCGTGTCTTGAGTCCCGACCTCTTGGGAAACCCTCGACGCCACCGCCGGATTCGCCTCGACATCCGGGTCCGAGGGTACCCCGGGGGAGAGGTCCAGGGGGAGTAGCGGTGCCTGTGCCTCTTCATTTTCCCCAAGGACCCAAACCCCGCGACACCGCGGTGACTCCCGCCTGCAGCGGCCGTGATCGCCGCAGCCCTCCCCACGACCCTTTGTGAGTCCGCGGGCGCGCAAAGTGGTCGAGGACGGCCAGGAGCTGGTCAGCGAACGGTGGCATGCACTGGAAGCGAATTAGGCGCAGAAGCGAAGACCTTGGGATCCTGGCGTTGCAATTTTTTCGCAACGGGCGTTTTCGCTGAATTTCGGGCCCGCGGACCCTCACGTATCGATCCGGCTCGAAAGACCATGCAGAAAGATGGGATCTGGGGCCCCCGTCGTGAAATCCTGCGATGTTGCGTTTTTGTTCAGCAGCGTCGGATCTCAGGGGAGAAGAACGAAGCGAGGAAGAAAAGGGAGGACACCCGCTCAGACCACGAACGCCGGCGCGAGGGTGCCCGAGGGGAGCACCCGGCTGCAGGACACCTCCCCGCGGCTCACGCGACCCGCTCCTCCCCCCTCTCAACCGCAGCCGCGGGGGCGTGTGCACGACAACGCGTGCGCGCGGGCTCAAGTTCTTGACGTCGGCGCTGTTCGCAGGGGCGAACGCGGGGAACACGAAGGTGTGGGCCCCTTCTTGGGCCCCGGATCTTGCCGAAGCCTGCGCGTTCTCCCGAAACGCCGACCGCCGCATCTCCAGCTTGATCTCAGTCGGCCGATACTCTGGCCGGCGCCCAGATTAAGCAGAGGGGTTTCATCACGTGATGCGAAGTTCCCCCCTCCCCACCGAATCCCCTCCCCTTCCTCCTCTATATCCTCCTTCTCCTACTCCTTCTCAGATTCGCATCGCGTGACGGATCCAAGTCGCCGACAGGTGTTGGAACTCGCAAGCTTCAGCTCGCACCACCGCCAAACATCCGCGAGCAGTGCCTGCGCGCGTCCACAAACCTCCATGCACGCCGGATTGTGCAGCAACCCTGCCAGACTCTGCAGAATCACCTGGCATGCACCATTGATGTGCAATGTTAGGGAACCGAAGCGGTACCGATACCGCTTCTCTCCAAACCTCTCCTGGGGTGCGTTCTGACCAGAATTTCGAAGCGAATCCAGCGGAGGCGACGAGGGCGTCCCAGGAGGCCCAGAAAGGGGGAGGAAACAAGGGAAGGGTAGCGGTATGGGTACCTTTTCGTCCTCCGAAAGGTGCTGAGGCTGTCGCTGATCACGCGGCAGCCTGACAGCAGGCAACCCCCCACACGCCAGCCGGTCCACACTGCCGGTCCAGCAGTCAGTAGTCGCTGGCGGCGTGCACCAAGGTGGGTTTCGCGAGGGGGCGGCCTTCTATGAAGGAGGGGGGGGGTCTAAGAAGGCTGGAGCCTTGTTAGAAACCCTCCTGGCGTTTTAAAAGCTTTCGTAGAAGCACCCAGCTCTTCTACGAAGGCCCCTGCCTTCTGAGAAGACCCCCCCACATCCTGAGAAGCCCCCCCCCCTCGCACCACCCCATTCTGCGCGCCGCCAAGTGAACGTTTTCTTCTTCGGCGTTTCGACATTGGGCGGAGCGGGGGGGAGGGGTCTGGCTCTGGACCTTTGCTTAATGCGACTGTTTGTGCAGCAACGCGTCCCATGGGGGAGATCCACCTGCTCGAAACAGGCGCCAAAAACAGTCAAGATCTACTCCAGGGGGGGAGGGGGGGCGAGGGCCCGCGCCGATCGGCAAAACAACGAATAAGGAAACGATCACCGAGCTCAGAACGTGCACTAAACCATCACTGGCGACAGGGAAGCAGAAGTTCCTTTACGGGTGCGGCGGCGCAGGTTCGCCCCCTCACCGTGAGATCGCTGCTGGCCAGGAGCCACGCCGCCTGAGAAGGGCCAACACTTCAGCCCGCCCGTTATCGGCGGCGAGCGAGGGGGGAAAGTAAGAATGAGAAGGCCTTCTCAGGAGGCGGGACTTCTCCGCAGCTCTCTGAGAAGGCTTCCTCCTTCTCACTTTCCCCCGGGAACGCAGCCGACTTAAGCAGTGATGCGCCGACCTTGCAAATCGTCCGTGCGACTCAGCGCCTGCACTCCCATCCAGCCGCCACAACAACCACCATCAGAAGCGCATGCCTACAGATTCACAGGTGGTGGCCGGCGTCACTCATCGTAACAAACTTGCTTCGGCCGGCGGGCGTATACACCACAAGTAACAGCCCTGAGAACAAGTACGAGAAACGTCGGGCCTTCGGGCTCAACAGCTGCGAAAGAGTAGTGCTCGGGAGGGGGGGGGCGAGAACGATGGGAAGGCTAAGGACGATGACAAGCAGGAGGACGAGTGGGATATGGTGGCGAAAACGAGAAGGAGGATGGTAACAGAACAGAGGATTGATTCCGAAGAAATGACAAGAACCTGATTGGGGACACGTGACAAAAAAAAAAAATACGGAACAAGCGTAGGAAGATGAGGAGGAGGGGGAATCATGGAGGACGAGGAGGTGGCAGATCAGGAAGCTAACCACTACGATGAGGAGGATGACGATGACCTGGGGGCGAGGATGAGGAGCAGGACGGAGGAAGGGAAAAGGGGGCGTGGGGGAGGACGAGGAGGATCAGTAGCAGCAGCAGTAAAAGGAGGGGGAACATGATGATAATGATGCCAGGATTAGGTCGGCCATGTCCTCCTGCAGGCGGATTTTGGAAGAAACATGAAATTAGTTGAAAAATGATCAAACATAGTCAGACATAGTCGACACATCGTCCCCATGCAATTGTTTTAACTCGTTCTGAATATTCCTCCTGTGCAGTGCGGGCGCGGCCGCAAGAAACTCTCGCAAGAAACCCAACCCTGAGAACCCGTGCGCGAGGTGCACCTGAGGGGAAACCTGGAGCACCCTGAACGCAGCAGCTCCTCCAACGGCCGCGGGAAGCCACCGCGCAGCGCGAGGAGCGAAGAAACCTAGGATACCCTGACGACATGCATATGGTTTCTTGATGCGCGCCCCCACTGTAAGACGGGGCGGGCCTTGTCAGAAGACTCGGAAGTCCCCTGGCCTTCTGAGAAGTGTTCTGCGCCTTCCCCGAAGACGGATGAGACTTCTCTTAGGTCGGGCGTGTCCTCCTACAGCATATGGTTTCTCGATGAGCGCCCCCTCACTGGGCATGCCCGACTTGATGCCAGGAAGAAGCGGGACGAAAGAGCCGTGGCGGTGCACCAGTGGGGGGGTGGCGCGAGGGGTCAGGCCTCTGCGAGAGCGGGGGGGCCCCTTCGAGGGCAGGGGCCTTCTTAGAATTAGGAATAAACTGATCAAACAATATTCGAAAATAGTTTAAAAGTAATGTTTAATAATCGTCCCCCTGACTATTTTTGGATTATTTTTGAATATTTCTCCTGTAGAGGGACAGGCCCGACTTCATCTTAGAATCCAGGGCACCCACACACACATGGACACAAACACCGAGATTCCCCACCTCTGTTCACATTTGCTTGAATACCCTTCTTCCCCATCCACTTCCCATGGCTTCCCACATCTTCGTGGGAATCGACGACTATTTGTGCCTGTGCGCTCTCTTCCCCATCCTGACGGAAGCCCACCCAATCTCGAAGACCATTCAGGGTAGAAACAAGCGCCCTCTGGCCCTTCCAGCAAGGCACCCGCCTTCGAGGATAACCCCCGGCAACCCCTCGTTCGCGCCGCCAAATGACGGGTCCTGGCGGTAATCCTCTCCTTCCGCTGGCTCCTGCTGGCTTTCGCCAGCAGGGTCGCCCCCGTTCTACACCATGCGAAATGCTTAAGAAATCATGGGTTAAGAAATTCATAGTCTCAGAAATTGAATAAAACCCAGAACTTCTATCAAAATCTTGGGATTTACATTGACAAGTTAAGAATAATCGAGACTCTGGACGAAAACGTAAGTTTTCTTAGGCATCGCCTAAGGTGTACCTCCGCCGGCCTCCGCTACCTTCCGCCCAGGAACATAGGCCAACTCCTTCGACCCTCGATGGCGAGACCCTTTCTGGAACGCCCCAAACAATACAGCCGGACCCAGGACGGAAGAACATCCATCAAAAACATGCGAGCTTCCGCTGGCCAATCGGAGGAACATTCGAGGGAACCCTCCCCCAGGATGCAAGATGCCATCCAACAACCACGAAGAACATTTGGGTACCCTCCCCGAACCGCCGCCCTCGATCTTGTACCTCGGTCCGACAATAGCGGAGGGCGCGGTGGGGCGGGAGCATCCTGCGGGTTGGGGCTCGGCCCTTTGCTGGGGCCCTTCGTCTTCGCCTTCGGCTTCGGCCGGGGTGCCGGTGGGGACGGCGCGGCCGCGCCTGGCACACGCGGCCACTCTGAAACGGTCAGGCGCGAGGGGGGATCTAGGAAGAGGAGGCGAAGGAGGACGACGACGATGAATGCATGTACGAGAAGAGACGGCAGGAGTAAGAACACGAGGCGGGAGGAGTATAGTCGGCCTTGATTGGAGAGGACACGCGGGAGGACACAAGACCCCTCCGAGGGCCACGTTGCCACAGGAATGTAGGAGGCATGGGTCGCGAGACACAAGACACGAGGGCACCTTTCATTTGGCATGATCGACCTACCAATCTGGGCCGACTGTGGCGCGTGGTGGAGTCAGCCACGCTGGAACGAGACAGCGGGCGGGCCCGCCCATTCCCACCATCCCTCCCCCCTACAGAAATCAATGGTGGCATAAGTCAACGTTGGGACGGGAGCGCGTTCCCGCACAGCGAAAGGAAGGTGTTCGCGCACGGTCCCGCTTCGGACTACTCGGCGAGGGGGAAAAGACGCGGGCCGCCCAAAGGCCAGAACGAAACTTTAAAACATCCACTGCGCTGCGTCGAGAGCACCATGAGGCCTTTTTCCAGGCGGACGTGTTCCTTATGAGAGCAGCAAAGACGAAGCACGCGTCGCGCCGAAAACGCGCGCCACTTTCACGCGCCGGCTGCGCGGCGCTTGGGCGACGAGAGCATTTCGCCCGCTGTCGGGAAGCCGAGCTGCCGCCGGCGCTCTCATGGGATTCGGCAAACGAAGAGCAAAAGCAGAAACCACGCTGTGAACATGAACTGTTGGCGCTCCGCGCAGATTTTTTGGATCCGCGCTGGGGCTCGCCCGCGGCGGCGCCAGAGGCGCCACAAGGGGAACCCAGCGCAGATCCAAGAAATCCGCGCGGAGCACCAACAAAAACTCATGTTTATGAAATTCTTCTCCTTTGGAAAACATGGGCCGCGGGCGAACGGGATCGTACCCCCCACGCGACATCCACACAACGCCTGGGCGAGAGAAGCGACAATTATCGCCCGCTCGCGCGCGCGGCCCCGCCTCCAAATTGACCTACCGATTGTTTGTATTAGATGTACATATATATACACACATATATGTGTAGAGTCACTCACATATATATATATATATATATATATCGACTACGCGCGGGAGTGACCCTAGGCTAGAGTGACCTTTGGTGCGCGGCTTCAGGAGCGCCCGTGGGGGCCCAACGCAATCGCGCAAGCCGGCGCTGCCGCGCCGCATCAACGATCGACGGGGCGCCACTCGAAAGATTTTTCGTGCCAGCGGGCAACCGCAGAATTCCGCCGATTGAATTCGAGCGCCCCGAATGGCACTTCGAAGGCGCTGCGAAAACAGACGCTGCCAGGGGCCGCCGCGATGAGGTCTGGCATTGCCGGGCTGCGTCGCGATGTCTGGCCAGGCCCGGTGTCATGGCCCAAGCTGGCCGCATCCGAGTGCCTGGAATACGTTTGAATATCATTTGATTTCTTAGAACGGCAAAAACCCCGATTGGTTCGAAAAGCGTATTCAAAAATATTCAAATATACCCAAAGATATCCCAAGACATTCAAGACAAGCGTTGTGGAATTTCGGGTGGGATTCGGGATTCTTCCTGGGCCGGAAAACTCGCCGTCTGGTCGATCTGTCTCCCCTCGGGTAACCACTGCAAGCTGTAGGGTGCGACGCGTATGCGGTGCTGTCGATTGCTGGCGCGTTCAGATGCGAGCGTAATCGCGCGATGCGGGTGCCGACGCGACGTCAAGCTCACTCCACAAGAACAATCAGCCGACCCCCTTTTGGGCCAGCACCAAAGGTCACTCCGGCGAAGGGTCACCCTTACGTGTCATCGAATATATATACATATATATATATATATGTACACACACAAACAAACAAAGCCTCGCGCCGGCTCGGGAAGCCCAGTTTCGGGCGACATCTTCGCGGCTCCGGAGCGAGAGATCGGCGGCGAGCGAGGGGGGAAGTGAGAAGGAGAAGGCCTTCTCTAGAGGCCTCCCAGATGGGGTCCGAGTAGATGAGGTCGGAGGATTGCGCCGCATCACCGATGCATCGACGATGCATCGGCGACGTTGTCGGTGCATCGGCGACGCAGGCGTGGAGAAAATTGGGTTCCACATCGAGCCGCATCGCTGATGTATCGGCGATGTGGAGCGATCCTTCGACCCCATCTGACTTCTCAGAAATTCCCCGGCCTTCTTTGTAGTGGTCGCGCGCGCGCGTGCAGCTGCGATGCAGCAGAGATGGCAGCCCTTCTCCTCTTCCTCCCACAAGCGCTGCTTGCACCTCCTTCTCCTGCTCCTCCTGCTGCTGCACATCTTGCTGCTTGTCCTCGTGCTTGGGCTGCTGATGCTGCCCCTCATCTCGACAGCGCGCACCAGGGTAGGGAGAGGGAGGGCTTCTCAGAAGCATTCCACCCTCCCCCTACCCCCCTGTGCGCGTTGCCGATCCTCCTCCTGCTACAGAACCGCATCGTAAGGATGCGCGATAAGGATACAAGGGCCCTGGACGCCCATTTCGAAACTTTTCGAGCGGGGTGCGGCCAACGAAAGTGGCCACGGATGGACCGATCAGGCAAGGATGCAAGGGTGCTCTGGGGAGGCTTTCCGTTCGCACCATGCGGGTTGACTGGGCTGCTGCTCCTCCAACTCCGTCCTCCATCGTCCCTGCCTGCTCTCCCCTGCTAGCCCGACTCTCCCGGCGCACGCCTTGCCGCGCCCCCGGCAGCGGGCCCTGCGGGGCCCGGGCGGAAAAAGGAGGCTGCAAGTCAGACGCGAGGAGTAAGACGACGACGACGAGGACGACGACGCACGACGACGACGACAGACGACCACGACAACGACGACGATGACGGGCGACAACGACGAAGACGGACGACAACGACGAAGACAACGACGACGACGACGACGACGGACGACGACGACGAACGAAGACGACGTACAAAAACGACGACCAACGTGAACGACGACGACAACGACGACGACGACGAAGACGACGACGGACGACGACGACGACGGACGAAAACGACGACGACGACGGACGAAAACGACGACGACAACGACGACAACGGACGACGGACGACGAAGACGACCACGACGGACCACGACCACGACTCACGAAGATGGCGACGACGACGAAGACGGACGAAAACGACGACGACGACGGACGACGACGGACGACAACGACGACGACAACGGACGACGAACAACGACGACGAAGACGAAAACGACGACGGCGAACGAGGACGACAAAGCAACATAACGTCGACGACAATGACGATAACAACGACGACGTCGACGGACGACAGCAACGATGACGACGACGACGGACGCTAACAACGACGACGACGAAGAAAGAACGACGACAACGACGAAGACGACGACGACGACGACGACGGACAACAACGACGACGGACGACAACGACAACGGCGACGACGACGACGGATAATGGTGACGACGGCGACGACGGACGAAAGCGACGACGAACGACGACGACGGCGATGACAACGACGACAACGACGACGACTACGAAAACAGCGGTCAACGATGGACGACGACGAAGAAAACGACGACGACGACGACAGACGACGACGGATGACGACGACGACAACAACGACGACGACGGACGCCGGATGACCACGACGACAACGACGAACGACGACGACGGACGACGACGAGGGCCGATAACGACAACGACGACGGACGATGACCACGACGCACGAAGACGACGACGACGACGGACGAAAACGACGACGACGACGGACGACGACGGACGACAACGACGACGACAACGGACGACGAACAACGAGGACGAAGACGACGACGACGGCGAACAAGGACGACAAAGCAACATAACGACGACGACGACAATTACGATAACAACGACGACGTCGACGGACGACAGCAACGACGACGAAGACGACAGACGCTAACGACGACGACGACGAAGAAAGAACGACGACAATGACGAAGACGAACGACGACGACGACGACGGACAACAACGACGACGACAACGGCGACGACGACGGATAATGACGACAACGGCGACGACGGACGAAAGCGACGACGAACGACGACGACGACAACGACGACGACGACGAACACGGCAGTCAACGACGGACGACGACGAAAAAAACGACGACGACAGACGACGACGGATGACAACGACGACAACAACGACGACGACGGACGACGGATGACGACGACGACAACGACGAACGACGACGACGGACGACGACGACAGCCGATAACGACAACGACGAGGACTCACGACGACGGACGACAACGACGAAGACAACGACGACGTCGACTGACGACGACGACGAACAACTACAACAACGACGACGGAGACGACGACGACGACGGACGAAAACGACAACGGACAACGACGACGACGCTAACTGCGACGACGGCGACGGACGACGACGACGACGACGGACGAACAACGACGGACGACGACCACGACGACAACGACGACGACAAAGGATGACGACGAAGACGACGACGAAGGACGAAAGGCACGACGAAAGACGTCGACGACGACAACGACGACGACGAGGAAAACGACGGTCGACGACGCAGACTGACGACAAAGACGACGATGACGACGGACGACAACGACGAAGACGACACCGACGGCGGACGAAATTGACGACGACGACGACGGCGGACGACGACGACAACAACGCACGAAAACGACGACTAAGGAAAACGATGACGGACGACGACGACGACGGACGACGGCGACGAAGAACGACAACGACGACGACCAAGACAACGCCGACACACGAAAACGACGACCCGACGACGACGACAACAACGACGACGACGACAGATGCCGACGGCGTCGGCGACGATGACGGACGAAAACGACGACGAACGTCGACGACGACGAAAGCGACGCTAGACGACGACGACGAAGGACGAAAACGATGACGGCGACGAAGACGACAACGGAAGTCAACGACAACGACAACGACGAGGACGGACGACGACGACGAACGACGACGACGACGACGACGATGAAGACGTCGACGACGGATGAAAAAGACGTCGGACGACGACGACGACGACGACGGAAGAACACGACGACGGACGACGACGACGACGACGGACGACGACGGCAGACGAGAGCGACGACGGACGACCACGACGACAACGACGACAACAACGCTGACGACGACAAATCACGGACGACGACGACGGACAAAAACGACGACGGACGACGACGACAAAGACGACGGACGACGACGGATGACGACGACGACGACGGACAAAAACGACGACGAGCGATGACGACGACGAAAGCGACGACGACGACAAACGCCACGGTCCACGACGACGGCGACGAAGGAAACTGACGACGACGACGACGACGGACGACGACGGACGACGACGACGGCAACGACGACGACGGACGACGGAGGACGGACGACGACGACAACAGCACCGACGACGACGACGACGCACGAAGACGATGACGACGACGACGCACGACGACGGACGACAACGACGAAGACAACGACTACGACGACGACAGGAGACGACGACATCCGACGACAACGACAATTACGACCAAGCCGACGACGACGACAACAGACCAAAACGACGACGGACGACGACGCAGACACCGACGACGACGGAGACGAACACGGCGGCCGACGACGACGACGACGGACCAAAACGACGACGACGGACGACGACGACACCGACGACAACGACAGTCGAAAACGACAATGGATAATGACGCCGCTTGACGAAAACGGCGGCAACGGCGACTACGACGACCGACGACGACGACGCACGGAAACGATAACGACGACGGGCGACGACGGACGACAGCGACGAAGAAATCGACGACGACGGGCGACGACGAAGACGAGGACAATGACGACGACGGACGAAGACGACGACGGACGACGACGACGACGAAAACGGACGAAAACGACGACGGACGACGACGACGAACACGACGATAATGGCGACGGATGACAACGGCAACGACGGACGAAAACGACGACGGACGACAACGCAACGAAGACAACGACGGATCACGACCACAATGACAACGAAGACGACGACGGACGAAAACGACGACGACAACGACGGACGATACCGACGACGACAACGACGACGACGGACGACAGAACGACGACGACAAAGACGACGGACGACGACACCGACGACGCGAGAAAACGACGACGACGACGACGGACAACGACGAACGACGACGACAAAGACAGCGAAGACGACGAAGATGAGAGGAACGACAACGACGACGAGGACGAATACGACGAGGACGAAGACGACGACGACGGATGACCATGACGACGACGACGCCGAGGACGACGAACGAACACGATAGCGGACGACGGCGACGGACGACAACGACGACTACGACGACGGCGACGACGACGGCGGCGGTCGAAAACGACGACGGAGGAAACCGACGACGACAATGATGACGACGAGGACATCGGATAGCAACGACAACAAAGGACGAACAGGACGACGGACGAAGTCGTCGGCAACGACGACGGCGACGACGGCGGATGACGGTTACGACGGACGAAAACGACGACGAACGACGACAACGACGATGACGGACGACAACAACGACGGACGACGACAGACGACAACGACGACGACAACGACGACGTCGACGCACGACGGACGACGACGACGACAACGACGGACGACAACGACGGACGACGCGCGACAACGGCAAAGATGACGGACGACAACGGCGGAGACGACAACGACAGCGACTATGACGGACAACGACGACGACGACGACTGACGACGACGACAACGACGACGACGACGGGCGACGACGGACGAAGACGACGACGACGGACGAAAACGAAGACAGACGACGACGACAACAACGACGACGACGACGGATGACGACGACGACGACGGACGAACACGAAGCTGGACGAGAACGGCGACAACAACGACGACGACGTCGACGGATGACGGCAACGACGACGACGGACGAAAATAACGACGAACAGCGACGACGACAACGATGACTGCGATCAAAACGACGGTCGACGACGACAGACGGCGACGGACGGAAACGACGAAAGCGACGACTGACAAAGACGGACGACGACGACAACGACGACGTCGACGACGGACGACGGACGACGACGGACGGCGACGACTACGACGGGAAACGACGACGTCAACGCACGGACGCAACGACAATGACGACGGACGACGACGGACGACGACGGACGAAGGCAACGACGACGAAAAGGACGACGACGACGAACAACGACAACGACGACGACGAAGTCGACGACAACAAACGACGAGGGACGACGACGACAACGACGACGACAACGACGACGGACGACGACGACGACAATGACAACGATGACGACGGATGACGACAGCGGATAACGACGACGACGACGACGGACGAACACGACGCCGAACGACGACGACGACAACGGACGACGACGACGACGGCGACGACGACGACGGACGAAAACAACGACGACACCGACGACGACGAAGACGGCGCAGACGACAGACGACAACAGACGAACACGACGACGACCGACGACGATTGTCGACAACGGCGACGACGACGACAAGGACGAAGACGACGGACGACGACGACGCCACACAAAAACGACGACGTGCGACGACCGACGACAACGAAGAAGACAGCGACGACAAAGACGACGGACGACACCGACGACGACGACGGAAGCGACGA